GGATCTGTGGTACTTCATTACAGCATTCCCTCTTCTTTTGTAAAGACTTGCAAATGCCTACCAGAAAGGTGTTTTTTAAAAAACTTTCCTTTCCCTATGCTCCAGATAACTCTTTCTCCAGTTATCTTTTAAAGCCCTCCCAGCCTGGTGTCCTGGCCCCACCTGGGTTGCTTAACTGTCACCCTGAGCACGAAAGGACGGTAGTACCATGTGGAAAGTGCTTGATAAATTGTAGTGGGTCATTCACAAGTGACTCAGTAAGCTTCCCCCCCCACAGCCATGTCTTCTTAGCTGCCATTTTCTCCCCCTGCAAATAATCTTCTGGGTCCTGTCCCTTTGGCAGGTGGGATCCTGTAAAGCCCTTTGCTCCCCAGGACTGTTAGGATAAAACCCAAGTTCCTCATGCTAGGCTTGTGCAGACTTCCTGTAAGCCACAGCCACCTCTTTGGGTTCTTTGAAAACACAACACTCCTTTCTGCCTCCAAGCATCCACATATGCTGTTCCTTCCACCTGGAATGCTTTTCTTTCCCCGCCTCTTTGCCAAGCTAAGCCTTTGCTCATTCTTCCAGTCTTAGAATAAGTTATCTTTTTTTTTAAGGAGTCCATTCCTGACATTTCTACTACCAGCCACCACCATCACCAGGTTAGGTCCTCAGAGCATGCTCTTCCTCCAGCCCTTATCACTGCTGAAACTGCATAATCACTTATCTAATGTCTTTTTCTCCCATACCAGCTATAAACTTCCATCAAGGCAGGGGCTGTATCTGCCTATGTCTCAGTACCTGGCAAAGATGCAAATTCTCAGTAGAACAAATATCATTGAATTGCAGGGGGTGGTGGTAGAGATTTAGCATCTCATCTCTTTCTCCGTTTTAAACTCCATTCTTCCCTAAGTCCAATGGGTCTCTTAAGTTTCCAAGCCCTTAGTCCCCATTCACTTTGCTCTCTCCTACGTCTAGCAGGTCTTCCTGGAAAGTTCATAGGAATTCAGAACACTTGAAAGATGATGGATCACTGGTGGACCGGCAGCAAGAGAGCCAGCTAAAACTTGTTTCTGCAAAGGCCCCAAAGACTACCCAGCCTTGGATCCTTCTTCCCTCCCCTCAATCAGGTGATTTCCATTTACTCCGTACCCAGATAGCCAGCCCAGGGATGTAGAACTGAAACCCTCCACTGGGTGGCACCAGATCATCACCACCTGCACCCATCTACCTGGTCTCCCAGGGTTAGGTGAAGGAGGACACAGGCATCCTCAGGTGTTGAGCACCCAGACATCAGTCCTACCCACAACAGAACACAGTGGGGACACATTCCTGGTGTCCATAACAGTTAGGTCTGCCCTCCCCCAACCCCCAACATTCTAATCTTCCAGATTAGCTTACTCAAGGAGGGCAGCTAGCAGCTAGGGAACACAACAGGGGTTTTCAGATGTGGACTTTTTCAGCCAGAGTTCTGTCTCTATGACCTTGAACAAACCGCTTTATCCACCCCACACCCTGCATCTCATAAAGGCATGTGTTCATTGTTCATTCATTCACTCATGTTTCAATTATAATTAAGTGAAATTCTTACAAGCATGCCAAAGAATGCCACATATACTTAGGGACCCACCGTCAAGAGTACCCCCATAAATACCTTCTTAACACATTTCTATGTTTAGTCTTCAGCACCTTGTTGAATAACCAGCCCACAGGTTCACTAACAAGGATAAAAAGCAGTTAGCTAGCCTGGCCGGGTGGTATATACCTGTAGTCCCAGCTACTTGGGAGACTGAGACAGGAGAGCTCTTGAAGCCAGGAGTTGTAGGCTGCAGTGCACCATGACTATGCCTGTGAATGGCCACTACATTCCAACTTGGGCAATGTAAGGAAACATCTTCTCCTTACAAAACTTAAAAAGGTATAATGTTTTTCAAGTGGTAGCTTTGGTATCCAAATGTTTCCCTTTCACAGTTTAAAAGAATAACATTCTACCTTAGAGTCCTGGAAACTGGTGAGGAACTGGTGTTCTACCCTCTCCATGTACCACATATTTATTTTTGTTACTTTGATGATACCTCAACTCCCAAGGTTATCATCCAAAAAGAGTATCACTGAAATCCGCCTGACATCAGGCACTGCCTACCCAGACTTGAGTCTCCAGAGCTGGCCTTCCTTGAATTCCTAATACCAGTTCCTCCCTTCTAGTTTTTATTCTGTAAAATTAAGAAATTGTATCTGTTGCCTATAAAAGCAAAATGTGTTCACTTTAGGAAGTTTTTTACATAGTGAAAAGTGTAAAGAAAATAAAAATTACCCATGATCTTAAACCAAGGTTTCTTAACCACAACACAATTCATATTTTCAAACTGGATCATTCTCTGTTGTGGAGAGCTGCCCTGTCTGCACACTACAGAGTATTTAGTGACATGCCCCGTGCCTTTCCAAACTGGCTGCCAGGAGCACCACCTCCTCAGTAGTGATGATCAAAATGTCTCCAGACATTATCAAATATCCCCTGACTGAGAACTACAGTTTTAGATGCAGATAGAACCACCATAAATGCACTGGTTTATTTTCCTTCCAATTATTTTTCTTTAAGTATAGATTTCCTTCTCCCAAATAAGACTGACTATGCATGCATTTGGTGTTCTGCTTTTCCAACTCAATATTATGTTGTGAGCATTTCCCCAAATCACTAAGTTTTCATCAAAAGAATGCCTCTTAATGGCTGCATAATATCATTGACTGGCTGGATGTCCAGCGCCATAATTCATTTTACCCATCCCTTGCTGCTGGACAATTAGGTTGGGTACACTATTACCGTGCTATATATAATTCCTGAGTGAACAGCCTTCCACATAAATCAGAATCCCTGGATATAATATTCCAAGAACAGACACTGGAAGAGAAATTCCTATGTCAATGGCTTATGATACACTCTGTTAAATCAGCGTCTAAGATGTAAGTGATACCAGTAAATATTTTTTAAATGATTGAGTGACAACTTCACAGTATTTTCAGAGGCAGGGGGAGTCACTGGGAAGGAAGAATGATTTTGAGGGTGGGAAGCTGTTTCCAATATACTTCTTGATGATACCCAGAGCAGCACCAGCTTGCTGTTGTTAAAACATCAGAACTGAGGGTGACCTTTTCAAAAACACTCCCAAGTCAGGTGACAAATAGGGTTGCACTTCTTTTTTTTTTTTTTTTTGAGTTGGAGTCTCACTCTGTCACCCAGAATGGAGTGCGCAGTGACACGCTCCCGGCCACCGCAGCCTCGACCTGCTGGGCTCAGGAGATCCTTCCGCCTCAGCCTTCCAAGTAGCTGGAACTACAGGTGCGCGCTACCACGCTTGGCTAATTTTTCTGATTTATTGTAGAGATGAGGTCTCGCCAAGTTGGCCAGGTGGGTCTCGATCCCACGGGCTCAGGCAATCCACTCACCTCAGCCTCCCAAAGTGCTGGGATTTCAGGCTGAGCCACCAAGCCCAGCTGGGTTTCACTTCTAACAGGTTGACAGCAGCTATGTTGAGAAGGCTGTTTGGGGAATCGGCAGGAAACACACAGAGCCCAGGGTTGATTCATGAAGGGTGGCATGAGCAGGGGATAGAGGGGGACAGAGAATCCAGCTGTGTACTGTTGATTGTGCCTAGAGTCCCACTACTCAGACGTGGTCCCCAGACCGGTGGCATCAGTCTCACCTCAGGGCTGGCGACCTCCTGGATCAGAACTGGCATTTTACCAAGAGGCCCAGGTGACTCACAAGTCCATCAAAACTTAACAAATCCCAATCTACACTCACATCCAAATTCTTTTCCAGAGTTAACTGAACTGGATTTGAGCCCAATACTCAGGCTCCTAAGAGAACAATTTAATAATGTTTCCAAAAATTAACACTCTTGTCTGTATTAAAGCTGAGTGTCACAATTCAGCCGATTATACAAACAGGTCACGGGGTCTTTCCTTCAGTGACTGCTACAGAGAACCCACTGCACAAGTGGCTATTGTTAGCACCAACTTCAGCAATATTATCATCATAATCATCATCAATTATCACGATTGTCATCATCACCACTACCCCAGAATTCTGGCATTTTAATTCCTAGAAAAGGGTGGTGGAGCTCGTTCATTAAGAACATCTTGTTGATAATGTAAGGGTAGACTAAATAAGACTCATCCTCAGTTTCTTAGGCACAGCTTAATGGAACTGGAAAATCTATGGGAACTGGCATCAAGGTCAAGTCTGACCCCCAAATCATTATGTGAGTCTGCACAAGTCCCTTAACTGGTCTGAGCCTCAGGGACCTCATGTATACCATGGGAATGGTAGTGACACCTACCTCAAACATCTGCACAAGCGTCTACTGGGACAGCAACTGAGAAAGCAGTTTGGGAATCTTAAAACATATGCCCACCTCCTTCCATCCATAGCTATCTCTTTGCTAGCCTATCAAATAAGATTCACAAATTTTATTAAATTCCATTCTGGGTAAAGTCTGGGGGTCAACGGGGTAAGGCAGAGAAAAGGAAAATGGCCTGGCACATCCACACTTTCCAAGTTTTGGGGAAACCTAGATGCATGTGTCAGGAATACAGACCGCAGAATGGGAACCTCTGCCCTAAGGGTTACAATTCCATAGCATCATCCCCTCCTCCAAACCACCTTCAACTTCTAGAAAACAAACAAGCCACAATCATCCAACCCTCTCCCCATCAGAAAACACTGGAACAACCCAGATACACCAACCACTTTCTACTTGGGGGCAAAACTGCACTGCTCACCTGGACTCCCATGACAGACTTGTCTTTTTTGTTATTTTCTGGAGAGATAGGATCTTGCTATGTTGCCCAGGCTGGTCTCAAACTCTGGGTTCAAGAGATCCTCCTGCCTCAGCCTCCCAAAGCTCTGGGATTATAGGCATAAGCCACTGTGAGCCTGGCCCTGGATGTGTCTCTAATGAAACCTTCTTGGGCCTACATAAACAGCTACCCCTACCTCCCTTAATGGGACCCCTTACCTGGGAATCACCGGTGGATTTTCGGAGACTCATGTGGGTAGTCTCTTGAGGGTGCGCTGTGGTCCCTGACGCGTGGTATCCATTCACTGCAGGGACAGAGACACGGCTCAGATGCTGTGCAGGCCACAGACGGGCACCCCTGCCTGTTGGCCTTTGCAGCCCCCTCTCCCACCTCCTTCCCTGGCTCTGAGAGGTCTTGCATGGATAGAATTAGACCTCAGGCTCTTATTAGTATCTGCAGAGCTGGAAACGTGCTGAAAGCAACTCTCTAAACCTTAGACCCCAAACTGCTGAACTCTCAGGGAACTGAGTTTCTTCTCAAGCAAGAGGAATGCACTTAACAGGAAGTGAGGTCACTACAATCCTGCTGCCACCGCTGCAAATACTGCATCAGTTACAGTCACAGGTATCAATCAAGGGTTCGATCTCTCGCCATACAGTCAGGCATCCATCCACCACCTTCCTACAGTTCTCTCCACCTCTCTCTAAGGAACCCTCAGAGCAGTATAATGTGGGTATCGTGGAAAGAGGACTGGAATTATTGGTTGCCATGAATATATGTATTACTGGCTCTGCCAGTTAATAGCTAAGTGATCATTTGCACTTCATTCTCAAGTCACGGTTTTCCTAAAATTAAAAAAATAATAACCTGAAGCTCTAAAATTCTAGTTCTAAACCCCTAGAACTTTATGTCTCTTGGGGGACACTCACTCATGCTCCCAATGCATGTTGATAAACCTGCTCTCCAAGGGGCAGAGGGAGCCCTAATTTGCAGAGTCTGCCGATTTCTCTAGATGACAAGGGTAGAGAAAAGGAGGGTATAAATACTCCCGCTATGGCCAGTTTCAAGACCCCAGCACCACTGCATGCTCCTGACATCACGAATTCACACTGGGACCCACGTTAACTCAGTTCTCAGAGGTGGTACTGCTCCCATATGAAGATATCCGTAACTACATGAGTTTATGAGAGTAGTTTCTCCTCAGTAATCCTTGGGTTCTGTACCTGAAAAATGGGCATAATTCCATCTAGTCTCCTGACCTGTCTTTGTTGGTATCATAATTCAACAGGAAATAATTGTAAAAAGTATGCAAAGGTGTAAAGTACTTTGTTATAAAATGGGAAGGGTAGAGAAAAGGAGGGCCATTGCTTTTGTTCCTGAATTGAGTAGCTGTGGGCCACAGGCCTGCATGATCTCTGGAGACCAGGAAAGCATGCCACCCTCATACCCCAGGCTCGGAGGAATTGTCAATACATATAAACAGTGCAGGTCAGTCTGGAGGAAAATACACACACTGATGTTCAACTCATGATCCTTCTGAAGACGGCTCTACAGTGTGGCGGGAAGCAAAGGAGAGAATGGCTGCAAGTCACCAGCATGTACTCATCTAGGGTGACAAGGGCTGGCAGCAAGCAACAGGCAGTGGGGTGATGAGGACTATTCCATGGAGAACCTTTTTCATGCTGAGGGATGTATCCCACTCTCCTCCACTTGCAGTGAAAAATCCAGGGCCATCTGCGAACACAGCCATACTCAACAGAGTGCCTGTGGGCAGCTGGGCTTCTCCTTAATCTATAGAGTTTGGCCCCCATTCCAAAAAGAAGGTGGGCACATACATACCAAGAAAACAGAAAAGCAGGTGCAGAGCAGGTCCCTCGTGCCATGGAAGCTTGGGGACGCAATAAGACACAACAGATTAGCCCTGCAGGGCCAGCTACAGGCCAGCTACACACCCACGCCTCTTGGGCAGCTAGCCAAGTGCTGGTAATATCCACCCATTATACAGGCAGCTGAAAAGCAAAGACCAAGATGTAACAGCATCCAGGAGAATGCTGAGAGGGCAAGGGATTATCGACTCACACTGGCATAAAGCTATGCCAAGAAAGGCATTAGATTGATGATAAATACACCCCACGATGAAGGCATAACACTCGAGAAATTTTATTTATCCAACAGCTTAGTATCCACATGGATGAAACACAAATGCTAAAAAATCTAAAAGCAACAGTAGAAAACCTCCCCACATTGCTTTCAGTGTAGGACTGATTCATAGAAAAAAGCAAGGATCAAAGAGGACCTGAGTAATTAAACCTGAAACAAGAGATACATTAAACATCGCATCTACAAACAAAGATAACATGTTCTGCCAGGAAGTCCGGGAACATTTAAAAAATTGGCCATATTTAAGCCACAAGTAAACTGTCAATAAATGGCAAAAGGCATAAATAACACAGGCCACATTTTTGACCAGAAAGCAATAAAAGTAGATATGAATAATAGAAGAATAAATATACAACATTCCCCCTCCCCCAACTCCCAAGCCCTTGGAAATTTAAGAAAATGCCCTGTTAGATAATCTCGGGTCAAAAGGAATTTAAAATGGTAATTACACAATATTTAGGGAATAAGAAAAAGAGCATACCTAAACAAATGGAATAAGGACTGAATTACACTTGGAGGAAAATCCATAGCCTTAATTATTTCATTACCAAACCCAGAGGAACAAAAATAAATGGACTAAACATTCAACTTAAGATTTTAGAGAAAAAAATTCAAAAGCCCCCTCACCCCCCAAAACAAACAAAACCAGGAGAAAGGAATATAAATATGGCAATAGAAATTAATGAGTGAAGAAATAGGATAACATTAGCCAATTAGGGCTGGTTCTGTGTGCGCGCACTTGGGGTGATGGGGGATGGAGATAGGAATCACAACAATTAAAAAAAAGCAGATAATCCAGAGTAATTTGAGAGTAAGAGAGAACACAAATGCTCAGAATTAGGAATCAGAATGAAAACATAAACACAATCAACAAGTAGAGGGTTTTTTTTTTTAATGCAAGAGCATATGACTTATAATTCTACGCTATTAAGCACCAAACCTTCCATAAGACTCAAGTTATCAAAATAGTTTCAAGGGATCCCCAAAACGCCAAAAAGAGCAAAACCTTTGAAAAGTTGTGTGCTCCCACTTCCCACCCCCCACAAAAAGCACTGGACCCAGATGGATTTATGGGCAAATTCATTCACTCTCTCAAGAAAGAAATACCCAAGCACAGAAACATGTGGCAGGCTTCCCAGCCTATTTTACGAAGCCAACATTACCCTGATCCTAAAATCAAACAAAGACAACACAAACCTGAATTACTGTTCAGTCTGATGCAACAATGAAACACATGGGTTTTTACCTGAGTGGTTAATCAGTCTCTATCTTTGATGATGCTGAGTCCCTGTAAACCAAGCATGGCCCCAGCTCCTGAGGGGACTGCAACTTACTCTATCCCAGACCCTCCACTCAATTCCTGCTATCCCTTCGGACCCAATACCCGCCAGGATCACAGCAGCCAGGAACTCACTAATGCAGAGGCATTCTGTCCCTGATCCAATCCCTTGTTCTCACTTCAGTTCTGGTCTGTCAGCTGTTGGCTAATTATGCTCATGTCAAAACAATTACTAGGAAAGAAAAAATAATTTTCCATTCGACCATTTCTCCCCACGTAGCAGCTCTCCTTGGGCACCCTGTCCTGCTGCACTTCCCGGGCACACCCAGCACACTTCTCAGTGGAGATCTGGGCAGTGATGGCCCACAAGATCCTGGCAAACCTCACCACAAGCCTTCTCTGTTGGCATTACGCATCCTCTGGGCTCCTGGCTCACCAGGGGTTATCCACGAGAAAAAGGAGGCCAGAAGTGGGTGCTTCTGGGCTAGCCTCAGGCATGGGGGAAATAACACTGGTCAAGGATCACTCATAACCATACAGAAACATAATCCAATTTGGAGATAAAAGAAAAAAAATAAAATGCTAAACTCAGCTGTTTTTTTTTTTTTTTTTTTGAGTTGGGGTCTCACTCTGCTGCCCAGGCTGGAGTGCAATGGCACAATCATAGCTCACCACAAATGCCGAACTCAGCTGTTTTATGATTCAAAACCGGGAACCAAAAGCTTAATCTCGTAATCTTAGTAGCTTTAAATATAAATATAAACACAGGCACTCACACATTTTGTTTCTCTTATGGGAGTTAAACAGACAAAGAGAGGGCTTGGGAGGTGTATAACAAGAGAAGGTGACAGATATTTGGGAAGGAAGGAGGAAAAGGAGGTCAGGGTAGGGGAAGTGGATAAAAAAAGAGAAGAAAGGAGAAGAAGCAAAATTATTGAGAAAGATCAAGCAACAATGAACAGCCAGCAATGTCTGCCACCCAGAATCCATCCTCCTGGTAGGTCTGCTTCTACTTCTCAGTCCCAATCCCTTACATAAAAAGTTCCATCCTCTGAGCCTCATGTCCAGGTTCCCAATCCCCGGAAAGCCTGAAAGCATACAAGAAAATCAGCCCTGGACACTCCCTCCTATCTCCCTCAGGTGTAGCCTAATATCCCTTCTTTCTGGAATAAACATAGTAACTTCATTCCTTAAGGTTAAGAAACCTGGGATCCTTGAGGCCTTGGTTCTTGAAATCCTTCCTCCCTCCCTTGCTCTCTGTCACCCATCCTCCCCTCTCTACTCCTCCCTCTCTCTCTCCCTCCTTCTTCCTCCCCTCCTTCCCTGTCTCCTACCTTTCTTCCTTCTTTTTCTTCTTCCCTCCCTCCCTTCTTTCCCCATCTATCATACATAAAACATGGTGCAACATAATGTTTCCCAGCCATGTTATATAGAACAGCAATTCTGCAGGATGTTTACTGTAAGTGTTATGCAGAGAAGGGAAGGAAGGAGTAGAATGTTATGGTTCAAATAATTTGGGTCAAATGCTCCCATTATTCAGATTTATATTCGTTTATTTACAGAAGGCCTTTAAAAATATGCTGATATGCGCTGTAAATCCCAAACAAGGCAATACCATCCCGCATCCCTACACATGCATGGACATAGAATCCCTTTATGTACATCACGACTACCAAAGAACCCACTTTGGGAAACACAGCTGTGGCCATAGATGCACAGGTTCTGAAGGCAGGCAGTTCTGTACTTCAGCAGCTCTGACAGCCCAAAGGCACAGTCACTTCCTCCTTCCCTCCCACAGCACCCTAGAAGGCCTGGTGGGTTCCTCTGTCATCATATACACCTCTCAGGAGTATCCAGCATCTACC